AAAACAAGCTGTACAATCAGGTCAGATAAAGTGGATACAAAAGTAAGACACTACAACCTGACCTGAGCTGACCTAGTGTCATTGCAATCAGTCCAGACCTTCAAACATGAGTTAGACCTCGCGTGGAGCTCCTTTTTGCGGAACAAAGCTAAAGATAACTCACCCTGACCCCCAAGAAACAGGGGCTGCGCCATTCCTTTTTTCTTTCTTTATTTCTAGATAACTCCGAAAGGGTCAAACCGGTAACAGTACCAACCCGCAGGAGAGTCAGTCCCAGGACAGAACACGCCACTACCGGGACACTTCACAGGCGAAAGCTCCCTCACTTCCTGAAATTTGAAATGTTGAAACTTTCAGTGCATCCAATTGACTGAAGGTCACTTTTGTTTCAACTCATCGGCCTTGCAGTTATTCGCTCGTTCGCGGCTTTGGCGCCCCTGATGTGTGTTCATTAAAGATTTTGCCGCTGGTTCTATGGAAACCTCCGGCAGGAGCGTGTACGAACAGGAGGTTGATCAGTCCAATGATCCTCCAGGATCTGTCCCCCAGCCGCTCTACGACCCTTATTTTTCAGCCAACGAAAAGGTTATCCAGGATTTGCTGCTCGATGAAAGAAGGTATCACAGTACACCAGGATATTGCTTCAGACAGCCCAGAGCGACGGCAAAATGGATGCGTAGAACATTGCTCAATTGGTTACGTGATGTAAGTTCTTTCAACTCAAGCATCTAGTTTTGCTAGATTTACCGACATCGAAATGCCGATGCTGGTGTCTTGTCTCACGCTGCTCAACTGACCGATAGGTATTTGCATGTCGTTCCCACTGATCGGCACGAATACCAACTGGTTGGTGGAACATGCTATCTTGTGGCGAGCAAATTGAATGATGCCCTGCCGGCCACTGCAGTCGACATGGCCCACTATATGGCGGATTCGGCGAAGCCAGGGGATATACGCGTATGCAAATTTGTTCCTTTGATCGATCTATTTTTTTCAGGCAAAGGAGATGACCATTTGCATTGCACTTCAGTGGGATCTCACATGTATTACCCCCGTTGACTTCGTCGCACCGGTTATTGAATTCCTGGAATTTGCACCCAGTTTAAAAAAAATTATCCGTCAACGCGCTCTTAATACTTACGTCAAAGCCTTCCATGGTAAGCCGTTAGTTCAGAATTTTTACATCGAGAACGTTCACGATATTTGTCGACCAGAAACTCCAAGGCGTTTATTTAATCTTCCACTAACCCTGATGAAATTAACTTTAGGATTGAGATTTATTTATCAACGCCAGGAGTGCAGTTTACTCCAGTTCGTGACTCCCTTGAATCACAATTATCACGTCCTGTTTTTGATTTGAACTCAAGGAGGATCAAGCTTTTCCTTACTGAATTGAATTCTTCAGCCACGGTTACTTTTAAGACGGGTTGTATTTATGTTATACACTACTCACTTCACCTCAGTTTGATCCGGAGTTAAAAATCATGTCATCCGTTGATGAATATTGAGCAAGTGCCACGTAACAACTGTAACGAGGTTTTTCAACCATACACCTTACCACGAAATTGTAAATTATATCAATTCCAATTACGTATCGAACACCACTCGTTGGTAAACTTACCACTGACCGTTATGCTGACGCGGTAACCCGTTTTTATGCTTGCTAATCTCCATTGAACTAGCTACTGTAGTGTACGTTAACCGCCTTGAGAGAAACCATTTTNCAAGCTACCTTGCTGCCGCATGCATTTTATATGCTTTGCAATTGATGGCACAAACTGAATCGCATGAGGTGGTTCTCCGTTCCGTAACACGTATTCAACAGTTGCTCAAGTTAGAAGCGGTAAGACATTTCTCAGATTCATTTTGTATAATCATGGTACCACGAAACAAGTAACCTTGTGACCGATGTTTCTCTGCAAAGCTGCAGGTATATTGAATGCACAGAGCGATTGGGTAGAGTAGGTGTCTCGTCGTCCGGGTTGGGGTTCGAAAGACTCCGAAACCGCATGGTTGGAAACACTGATACTTCTGCGAACCGACTGCAATGGCGATCTTACTGTCACTTCTT